GGGCCCCCAGATGTTGCTGAACTGCAACTCCCATGACCCCTGGGCATTAGCCATGCTTGCCGGGCCCAAATGTTCCCCAAACTGGGTTTTGGTTTTTTTACTAAGACTTCTATTCATTGTTTATAACTGTTTCCCTGGAACTCTGCTCTTCCCTGATTCTTCCACTGCCCCTATTTTGCCATATTTCTGGGAAGAGCACATACGAGTGTGTTGCATGTGATGTCACTGAAAATGTTTGCCCCTCCCCCTAGCTATGTCTTCCTGAATGTCACCAACCTATTTCTGCTCCCTCTCAACATTCACTTCAAACACTCTTCAGAACCAGCCTTATGTACCCTGTTTTCTGGTTATTGTTTCCGTTCTGCCTCTGGTTTGCCTTTGAAAGAGAAGCCCCTCTCTCTCTAATGCTTGCTTTTGAAGGGACCCCCATATAAAACCATGCAAATTTCAGAGGATCTTTTATTCTACTGAATCAGATTCTTATACAGAACAAAGTGGGGTTGTGCTTTCTCTCTGTCCGTCTGAAAGGCAGATCGGGTGTTGCCCACTCTCAAAATTTAATACGAGGCTACAGGTCCCCAAAATGTTGATGATCCTTTCCCGAGCACCCAAATGATCCCCTGGGTCACCTATGGTTCCTGAGCTTATTTCTTGTGCAAACCGGCTTGTTGTGTTAGGAAGCCTGAAATATAGAAGGCAGAAGGCACTTGCAAGAGACCAATCTGCACAAGGAAGGATCTGTGATTATGCTGAAGAGCAGCTCAGCAGAGCCACAATTCCTGCTCATTTGCAAGCCACACATCTTCAGAGAAACTGCTTGCAGAGGAAAACTATGCAACAGGCAGGAAGGAGAGTCAAGCGGCTGGCTCCTGCCTTCACACAGCTGGTGATCAGGGTAGGTCTTGGCCCAATGCCTGCCTATCCTTCCCATTCCCTCCAACATTTCTCCAATGAAATTATTATTATTATTATTATTATTATTATTATTATTATTTCCCCACCCATCTGACTGGTTTGCCCCAGCTCCTCTGGGTGACTCCCAACATATATAAAAACATAATAAAACATTAAACATTTTAAAAAATTCCCTATACCTTCAGGTGTCTTCTAAAGGTTGTATAGTTACTTATCACCTTGGCTCAGGCATCACATAACTCCATACCCTCCAACATTTATCCAATGAAAACAGGGACGTCCTAAGGAAAGGCAGGACATTTTGGGATCAAATCAGAACCTGGGACAGCTTCAGTAAATCTAGGGTGGTCTCTGGGAAATAGGAACACTTGGAGGGTCTGCCTTCCTACCTGAAGCCCCAGACAGCCACAGATTGCTCTGGGCCATCCACCCTGACCTGTAGCGGTCCACGCCTCATTCAAGGCCCTCTGAATATGCTTGATTTGGCCCAGGCCTTGGCAAAATCTGATGCACAACCCTAGTAACCTGCCTGATTGTAGTTCAGAAGTACTGCTCAGCTGGTGATGTTACCGACATGGGCCACATCAGTGCTTGCATTGTAGAACTGCAAGTGCCAGGGATACACAGTGGAGTAGGTGGGTGGAATTATTTACTAGGACTTTGTGCTCATTCTTGGCAGTTGAGGAAATATTGTTCTGGAACTCTGCCCCTCTCTGTTTCACTGCTATCCGATTTCACCACATTGCTGGGAAGAGCAAGTGTTCAAACTGCCAGTGCTTGCCCCTGGCTATGCCTCCCTGAATTTTCACAAAGCCACTTTGGCTTTCTCCTCCACCTCCATGTGAGCCATAGCCTTCAGAACCCATCTTCTTTATAGACTCTGTTTCCCCCATATTAGCAAGCCAAGTCTGTATTTTCTGGTGACTGTTCCTATCACGGGACTGAAACTGCCTTGGTCGCACTGGTTGATGATCTCCGACTGGCTAGGGACAAAGGTGAGAGCTGTTTCCTAGTTCTGCTGGATCTCTCAGCGGCATTTGATACCATCGACCATAACATCCTTCTGGACCGTCTTGAGGGGCTGGGAGCTGGGGGTACTGTCATACAGTGGTTCCGCTCCTTCCTCCTGGGCCGTGTTCAGAAAGTGGAGGTGGGGGGATGAGTGTTCAGACCCCTGGGCTCTCACTTGTGGGGTGCCTCAGGGTTCTGTCCTCTCTCCCATGCTTTTCAACATCTACATGCAGCCGCTGGGAGAGATCATCAGGGGGTTTGGGCTGGGTGTTCATCAGTATGCAGATGATACCCAGCTCTACCTCTCTTTCAGATCAGAACCAGTGAAGGCGGTGACGGTCCTGTGTGAGTGTCTGGAGGCGGTTGGAGGATGGATGGCGGCAAACAGATTGAGATTGAATCCTGACAAGACAGAAGTACTGTTTCTGGGGGACAGGAGGCGGTCAGGTGTGGAGGATTCCCTGGTCCTGAATGGGGTAACTGTGCCCCTGAAGGACCAGGTGTGCAGCCTGGGAGTCATTTTGGACTCACAGCTGTCCATGGAGGCACAGGTTAAATCCGTGTCCAGGGCAGCTGTGTACCAGCTCCATCTGGTACGTAGGCTGAGACCCTATCTGCCTGCGGACTGCCTCACCAGAGTGGTGCATGCTCTGGTTATCTCCCGCTTGGACTACTGCAATGCGCTCTACGTGGGGCTACCTTTGAAGGTGACCCGGAAACTACAACTAATCCAGAATGCAGCAGCCAGACTGGTGACTGGGAGCGGCTGCCGAGACCATATAACACCAGTCTTGAAAGACCTACATTGGCTCCCAGTACGTTTCCAAGCACAATTCAAAGTGTTGGTGCTGACCTTTAAAACCCTAAATGGCCTCAGTCCAGTATACCTGAAGGAGCGTCTCCACTTCCATCGTTCTACCCGGACACTGAGGTCCAGCACCGAGGGCCTTCTGGCGGTTCCCTCACTGCGAGAGGCCAAGTTACAGGGAACAGGCAGAGGGCCTTCTCGGTAGTGGCGCCCTCCCTGTGGAACACCCTCCCACCAGATGTCAAAGAGAACAACAACTACCAGACTTTTAGAAGGCATCTGAAGGCAGCCCTGTTTAGGGAAGTTTTAATGTTTGATGTATCACAGTATTTTAATATTCTTTTGGAAGCTGCCCAGAGTGGCTGGGGAAACCCAGCCAGATGGGCGGGGTATAAATAATAAATTTATTTTTATTATTATTATTATTATTATTATTATTATTATTATTATTATTATTATTATGCTGTCTCTGTTTCAACAGGACTTTCCTTAAAAAGCAAGCATCCATAAAATTGCACAACCATGATTATTGTTTGCACAGCAAGGGTTGGGGTAAATGAACCCTTCGGGTCCCTCCCAACACTATGATTCTGTGATTCTAAGTAGTTTTTAAAAAGGGAAACATTCAAGTGAGATTTATTTAATTCTAAAAAGCACACATGCAAAACTGTCATATATGTCAAGTCAGATCATTAGTCCTTCTCTCCATGTGCTTTTTTGATTGACAGGTCCTCTCTGAGGTCTCAAAGCAGAGATTCATTCCTGGTCCTGGTAAAGGTAAGGTAAAGGACTCCTGGACGATTAAGTCCAGTCAAAGGTGACTATGGGGTTGCGGTGCTCATCTGGCTTTCAGGCTGAGGGAGCCCACATTTGTCCACAGACAGCTTTCCGGGTCATGTGGCCAGCATGACTAAACCACTTCTGGCACAACAGAACACTGTGATGGAAGCCAGAGTGCACAGAAATGCCGTTTACCTTCCCACCACAGCGGTACCATGGATCTTGGTACGCAGGGTCTGTTAGCTGCAGGTTGAGCATGAAACCTTCCATCTGCGAAGCATGTTTTCTGCCACAGCGTTCAGAAGAAATCACAATACATTTCATTTCATTGACCAATTCACTACATTAACTGATTAAAATACCTTTTAAATTGCCTTTTTAAAAAAAGCCTGCCCAGTTAATCTAAGGATGCATTCATTCATTTATTTAAAAGAATTATTTTTGATAGAAGTAATTATAAAAATTGCATCTGGCAGCCAGCATCATAGAAGAAGCATCTTCCCTTTGCTTCGTTTGGGAGGGATGTCTCTTCTAAGTTGGCACCTGCTGCAACTGGTATATGTTTGTGTGTGTGTGTGTGTGTGTGTGTGTGCATGCACATGCACATTAAATATCACCATCATTTGGGGGTCAATGGGCACATTTGCAAATTGGAGAAAGTGCTGTGGGCACCTGCAACATTTGCTACAACAGCAAAAAAAAAAAAAAATCAAGCAAAATTTCAGAAGCGGGAGGGAGCTCTGTGGGAGCCAGGGAAGGCCTGTGAGCCCAAGTGCTTCAAGCTGGTGACTCCTGAAGCATGCCATCTAAAAAAACAACTAAAATATGATCCACCTTTTGAAACTGTTGTTCTAGCTACAGTGGTACCTCAGGTTACAGATGCTTCAGGTTACAGATGAATCGGGTTACAGACTCCGCTAACTCAGAAATAGTACCTCGGGTTAAGAGCTTTGCTTCAGGATGAGAACAGAAATCATGGAGCAGTGGCACGGTGGCAGCAGGAGGCCCCATTAGCTAAAGTGATACCTCAGCTTAAGAACAGTTTCAGTTTAAGAACGGACCTCCAGAACAAATTAAATTCTTAACCCAAGGTACCACTGTACATGCAAATCTATGCAACTTTGAGTTGATCAGTTAAAATCAGTTAAAATGTATTTACCTAAACAGCTAACACGGCAATCCTGTGCACACTTACCTGGGAGCAAATCCCAAGCAACCCAATGAGACTCCCTTCTGAGTAGAGAGGCATAATGTTTCTGTAATGCAGAGATGAGGTGCCTGCAGCCCTCCAGATGTGATTAGACACAGTTCACATCATTCATGATCATTGACTATACTGGCTGGGTCTGATGGACATCCAAAAGCATCTGGAGGGCCAATGACACATTCATCATCCCTCAGGCAAATAGTTTCCCAACTTACACATTATTATGCACACAGGGGTGCATGCACACCACACATACACAAACATACACACAAAGACGAATGCATTAGGATCCCCCTTTATTTAACTAATTTGCTCTTTGAAATCACATGCAAGCCTGCAAACAGACATTAGCAGATGCTGGAGCCTGAACTTCTGGGAACGGTGCATTGGAGATGCTTTTCCCAGCTTTGCTGAGGAAGACACCTTGAACCAAATGAAATCAGTAAAGGAATTTGTCCAGCAGGAGCCCAAGGAGATAGGGCAGGAGAACGGTGAAAGCAATGCTCCCATGTACCAGGCTGGCTCCATCAGTTGCTTTCTTTATGTGACTGGTGGCGATCGACATTTTCACCTCTCCAAAGGTCATGTTGGTGCCCTTGACAAGGATTTTTGCTGCTTGAGTAGCACAGCCTTGCCCAAAGAAGTCCTGAGATGAAGTTATAGAATCTGCAAAAGGACAATGCAGGAAAGAATAGTATCATCCCTGCTGTGAAGGAAATTGACAGTTGTGAAAAATAAAAATTGTGGGGTTAACTTGTTTAAATCCAGCCTGTACAGGGAAGGAATGGGTGGTCAAATTGCGCATGGGCAAAGTCTGCAGTTGGGACTCAGACCCAAGTAGTTTTGTGGATTTGGAACCAAGGGAGTTGAAGGATATGTTTGGGAACCAAATGAAACTTGAGGAGATCATGCTGGGTCTCAGGATACAAAAGAAAGACACATTGGGCTGAGGAAACAGCAAATTCTAACATAAGTCTTTAGCTTTAGGGACTGTCTCTAGATGGAAAGCTGCAAGTGTTTTAAACTGACATTTCTTTCTGTATTTTTGCTCCATTTAAGGGCTACGTCTGGGAAGCTAAAATGATGGGTGGCTGCATTTGAGCAATTGGGTCTCCTTTGCTTCTACCCGCTCTAGGAGCAAAGGGTTGTCTCCAGCCAAGTTCTGCTTGGAATGAGCTCACTGAAACTACTGGGTCTAAGTTTCTCACATCCATTTCAATGAGTATTATTTTTTCCAATCACAAACTGATGCAGAATGTGACTGAACTTAAGAAGGGTAAGAAACTGCAATTCATGGGCTTGTCCATCCCTAACCAGGAGGGCTTGCTTTGATGTAGAACAAGGGTTGGGGTTTAGCACAGAGTTCACCTGTGGATAAGCCTAAACTCCTCCATTGTAGAGTCAGTTTGGTGCAGTACTTATGAGGACTTGCTTAAGGTCTGGGTTGAAAGAACTGGACTTGGGTCAGTTATTCTCTTCCAGCCCCTCACCATAGAACTGCCAAGAGAATAGGGGAGAAACTAAACTCCTTGGGATTAATATGGAAAGAAGATGAATAAACCTCAGTCAGCATACCGCATTCTCATTTACCTTGGTAAGTCCCAGAAATGGTCAGGCAGTAGTCTTGGGATCCAGTACAGTTTGTCTTGTTGCCATGGCAGGGCTTAGAGCTGAAAACGAAGCATGTGGGGCACACCTTCCTGGTGACGTTGGTGTTTACTGCAACAGTGATGAAATGAGTCATGAAACATACTGCTGAACTGGAGGGGGAAACACTCTGCAAAAACAAAAACCACAACAACAACCCTTCCCTTTTGTAGTTGGGGAAAATGGAAAAGGCATGGAATTTCTCAATTTGGTGTGGGGTGAGCATCAAATATTTTCTGAACGGTCCAAGCCTTCCATTTCCTTGGGTTGTGGTTGGTCCTTTTAATAAACAAGAACTATTTTAAGCAATGCATATGGTTCCCCTACTGGTGGGCAGCCTTCCCATGAGACAGAGTCCTGCTTGTTGGCTTTTCACATGCATCTGGTTGGCTACTGTGAGAATAGGATGCTAGACTAGCTGTGTCATTGGCCTGATCCAACAGGCTCTTCTTGTGTGCCTATTTGGAATGAGGTGGGCGGGGGACAATATTGTCCCTCAGGGCAGGCAGTATAGAATCATAGAATCATAGAGTTGGAAGAGACCACAAGGGCCATCGAGTCCAACCCCCTGCCAAGCAGGAAACACCATCAGAGCACTCCTGACATATGGTTGTCAAGCCTCTGCTTAAAGACCTCCAAAGAAGGAGACTCCACCACACTCCTTGGCAGCAAATTCCACTGTCAAACAGCTCTTACTGTCAGGAAGTTCTTCCTAATGTTTAGGTGGAATCTTCTTTCTTGTAGTTTGGATCCATTGCTCCATGTCCGCTTCTCTGGAGCAGCAGAAAACAACTTTTCTCCCTCCTCTATGTGACATCCTTTTATATATTTGAACATGGCTTTCATATCACCCCTTAGTAAATTGCCTTGAGCCAGTCCTGCCCGATGCTACTAAGAGCCAGAGCTCAGTCGTAGAACATCTGTGCTGCATGGGGCAGGGAGACAGCCTTGTCTGAAATCCTGGGGAGCCATTGCCGGTCAGTATAGACAATACTGAGCAAGATCATGATGGACCAGTAATCTGAGTCAGTAAAATGCATCTTCCTATGTTCTATGTTCCTATATTATGGTGCCACAGGACCCTCCATTGTTTTGTGGACAAACTGCATGGTAGAGCACCAGTTTTGAATGCAGAAGGTCCCGACCTCTCCAAGCAGAGCTGGAGGTGTCCCTACTCTGAAACCTTGGGGAGTTTCTGCCAGCGAAAGCCGCACCCAGAGGTGCCAACTTGCAGAGAAGATTGGCGGGGGGACGACGATGCACGCACAGTGTTGGGACACCGCATGACATCAGGATGTCAGGAGGAGACAGGGTGGCAGCAACAGCAGCAGGAGCCAAATGTGGCAGCGGTGCAGCAATTATTATTATTATTATTATTATTATTATTATTATTATTATTATTAATTTATTTATACCCTGCCCATTTGGCTGGATCTTCCCAGCCACTCTGGGCAGCTTCCAGTAAAAACAGAATACGACTTCAAACATTAAAAACTTCCCTAAAGAGCCTTCAGATGTCTTCTAAAAGTTGTTTATTTCCTTGACATCTAGTGGGAGAGCGTTTCACAGGGCAGGTGCCACTACCGAGAAGGCCCACATCTCCTCCTCTCTCACACCCAGTCTCCTCCATCTCTTGCTGATGCCACAGGTTGGGAGCTGCACGTCTTTCCTTTATGTGGCAGTGGCAGGAGGGGGAGCAGCCACTGAAGCTGTGCCATGCTCGGCTCCACAATCAGCCTCGTCTTCCTCCTCCTGCCACCACCACCGGCCGGGGGCTGCTTTCCCGCTCCTTCCCCTGCACAGCAGCAGGAGGAGCCGACCACTGAATTTACACAGCTCCATACTTGGCCTCCTCCCCCCTAATGGTTCTAAACATTGGGAGGCTGCCCTCCTCCCCCAAAAATAATAATTTGGAGGGCTCGAAAGAGCTGGGCGCTAGGAGTTGATGCCTACCGCCCCAGTAGACAACACTGAGCTAGATGAACCCTACAGCTTAAGCCAGCCTCCTAGGTCCATCACACTACAGAATCATTATCCGTGCACTCTAGAGGAGAAAAGTTGGGGGCCAGATGAACTTTCTCTCCCCAAATAGCAGTTTTGATTCAGTCCTACTCCGCCTTGCTTCCTTTTCTGTTCTTCTTCTTGTGGCAATTTATTAATTTACATACTGCTTAATGCCATAATAGTGCACGGAGAATGGAAGCCAGTCATGCAAAGCATTAAAATGTTAACAACCTCGATCAAAATATACAATTTGGCAATCCCATTAATGACATTAAAGAAATATACCTGCATCATTAATATATGCGATAAAAAATGTAATCCCTTTAAGATAACATAACACTCAAAACAGAAGGCTAAAGTCAAGGGGATGCCTGCATAAATGAGTGTGTCTGCAGTATATCATTATCATTACTATTGTTTATTATTGTTAGAATTAATTTTGCTTTCTAAATTTGTCCCAAAAGCAGCAAAGATGCAACACTGTGACATATAGAACAGCAGAGATTGTGCATCCCATACAAATCATTCCATACACACTGTTGTGTAATAACTTCCCCCACCTTTCAGGAATCTCAAAGGAGCAGGGAATAAGATTTCAAAGTGACCAAAAATAAGGCACAACCAAAATTTGACAATCTGTAATTCTAAATAACTCTTCCATTATTCTCACTCCTATAAACAATTTTTGTTTGTTTTGTTATTGTTCCTATAAACAATGACACTGCAGCAATCAGCTGTACATAAAGCTTTCTTCCCTTTTTGCCACACAGATGTTCTGAGTGATTTTCCCCCCCAGAGAGGCTAATTTGCTCTATGCTGCCGATCCAGGTGAGGCCACTTGTGTTTCAACATGCAATTTTATTGATGTCTTAGACACAATGTATTTGCAACGTGCTCCCTCTGCTGGCTTTATAGAAACTTGCATCTTTATTTTGCCTGCTGCAACCATAGCCTAAAACTTCTTCAACAGCAAAATACTGTCTCCTCAGTATAATCCTTGCTGAGTTCAATTCAATTTATGCCCAGGCAAAGATGGATATAGGATTGCAGTCCAAATGACTCTTTAAATCTAATGCTTGTGATTTTCCAGGTTTATTTTCATTTAACCAAAACTAGCTGTTAGGAAGAATAAATGAGATAATGATTTGGATGCAGGGGTCAAACTTCCATCCCATGGAATTTTCCTACTGAAAATCCCCTTCCCAAATGGGGGGGAGGGGGGTCTTTACAAGCTCTGGTTTGTTGTAAGTCATACTCAGAGTATCCTCATAGAAATCAATGGGATTAAGTTAGGCTTGGTCATTAATTTCAACAGGTCTACGGCGAGTAGGAGTTAGGGTGTTCAATACAGGGGTGCTGGGTAGGGGGGCAGGTAAGCCTTGCCATGCATAATTAACCATAAGGCCATTTGAATGGCAATGCTCATTAACTTTGGGGACCCCGGCCCCCTCAAATATTTTATTTAGGAGTCCAAAGTTGCCTCCTATGGCTAGATATAACCTTCTGTTTCTTGGTGATGAGTAGGAGTGCTAGAGTAATGTAATGTTGAAAGCATGTACATTCCTAACACAGGCAGCACAGAAGCTCATCCTGCACCCAAGAAATACCAGCCAGCCAGAAACCTTTCCCCATCCCTTCCCCAACCCCCTCTTTCCCTCTCCCTCTCTCTTCCTTGCACTGATTTGGGGTACTGAATCATCAAGTGAAGGTTTTCATGGTACAGAGCCATCCCCTGGTCACCTGCTCACTCCTGCAGATAAAACTGCTTGAGAAATAACATCTACATTGGCCAACAAAGAGCAGTCGGCAAGCCTACTTGCATCAGATCTCCAAAGCACAAGCTGTAGCCCCATCCAGCTTGGTGCATCCATGGCCGTCTTTACCCGGGGGTGCAATGGGTGCAGTGCACCTGGGCGCTGAATTCTGGGAGTTGCCAAATGTATACCTACTATATATTGGTCCCTCTCAATCAGCGGCAGTGAAAAGCAATGGAGCGGAAGTCCCCCCCCCCCCCCATCACTCTATTACCAGAAGCATCGTCGTTATAGGTGAGCAATTCCCCCCCACAAAAAAAAGGTCAACAAGTTTGGCTTTCCCCCTCCCAAAAAAACTCAATAAAAGTTAATTTGGGGTGCCTAAACTAATTTTAGGGGCGCTGGGTGGATCTTTGCACCCTGGCAGTGCATATGCTAAAGACGGCCTTGGGTGCATCGCAAATATCCTCCGCATAAACTCCCCACTCTCTGGCCAACTTAAAACAGCAACAGACTTTTCCTCTGCCTCTCACACTACCTGAATGATGTGACATTCCAAAATCTGGAGAGAGCCTTGCAGCCATTAAAGAACAGCATGTCCTTTCATCAGGTTGTGCAAAGCCAGGTCAATAGGTCTATTCACAATCATCAATACAAGAAAGCTCTTATATTTTTCTTATGGGTGCTTCATCCTCAATTTCACTTACTTAGTATGCAGTGTAAATAACTTCCCTATTGCCCTTCAGTTAGGATTCCTGGGATATGAAAAAAAAATTGATATACTCATTTCTGAGACTCTTACTCAGCCTTAATCAGTTCTGGACCCCACATACCTTCAGGTAAACGACTATTGCATTTTGTCTTATTGCAGCATACAAAGTTCCAGGTAAAATTTTTCCCAGCTGTGAAGAATAAGTCCCCCTCTTTGCATGCATCGAAACTGGCCTTGTTGCTTTCACAGCCTTGGAAGTTAACAGGGGTTGCTTTGGAATCTTGTGTTTCAAAAAAAGGGGAAGGAAATAGAAGGGAGTTAGGGAGATAAAAAATAACGTGTTAAAACCAATGACCAAAACAATATCACTCATCCATTAAAGCAGGGGAGGAAAAACCTTTTCAGCCTGAGGGTCGCAGTCTATCACTGACAAGTGCTAGGGGTGGGAGGGGCCAGGGGTAAAAGTGGGCAGAGCTGCAAATGTGACTCATATCTTTGTGCCCTAGGCTAGATTCCAGCCATGCAAAAGTCAGGGGGTTCTACACACATTGTTCTACCTCCAGGCAAACAAGTTCAAGGGTGCTTCCAAACTGAAGAGGGCAAACTGGTGAGGGGTGTTGCCTGGGCAGGATGAGTGGGGCCTGGGAAGAGAGTGGAAGGCCAGAAAAAGAGGGCTGCCCTTGGCCCCTAGACCTGAGATTTACCCACCCCTTCATTAAAATGTACCACAAATGCACATAATCAAGCACTGGTGTATTCACACTTGTGGTCAGCAGTGATCTTTCGTGTAAACGCAACCAAGTTCTTGATAGTGTAACTGATTCCATCTGTAATATGCTGGTGGGTTTGCACTATTCAGACAGTGCAATTGGCATTTGATGTGTTCTTCAGATTCATAATGATCATGGCTGCATTCCTCCTCTCCGCCCCCCGCACACACCTTTTAATTAGGTTTCTAGAAAGGCTTCTGTTAGTGTTTTCTGGAAATGTCCCCAGGGACACATCTACCTACTCTTTGTATAATTCCATGCTGCTGAAATGCAGGATCCTCCAGCATCATCAACTGAACAAACTTTGCTTGGACACTCTTTTTCAGCACTACAGTCACAGTCCAGGGAGTTTGCTGGGGGGAAAATAATAACATTGAAAACAGTAAACAATCGCAACTACCACGATGATGAGCAACACTGGTTCTTATTTCTTTTGTTTCTGCTTTATTTTCTAATCCCAACCTTCCTCTGAGGAATTCAGGATTATGTGCCAGAGACACTGCTGCAGTTGCCACACCCAATCACAACAGCACAACTTAGGCCTCATTAACTCCATGCATTTATAGTGTTGTGATACGATTTCCCCTTGAAGAATTCTGCAGTTTGCAAAGGGTGCTGAAAGTTGTTAGGAGGCTCCTGTTGCCCCCACACAGCTATGCTGGATTGATTGTTAAATCACTCTGGAAGGGGAGGCCTCTCCTAAAAACACTCTGCACCCTTACCAAACTACAGCTCCCAAGATTCTTGGGGCAAAGCCGTGGCTGTTTAAAGTTTTATCATAACAGTTTAGATGTGTTACCATTGTCTATTGGCTGCAACAGGATCTACTGTTGTGTTCTGGTCCAATGACAGACTCCACAGAGAATGCAGCGTCAGGACCGTGGACAGATCCCAATGAGCAGCTTCTTCTGACAAAGGCTGGTTGCAGACTGAAGCCTTTTGAGCCTCTATCTCCAGGCTGTCTCTTCCCATGACTACTATTGTGGCAAGGCCACCTGAAGAAAATATACTGCAGTACCTCACCTTAGCTGTACCTCATTTTACATTGTAGTGCCTAATGCTAAAAGCGCCTAATTCTGAGAATCAAATGCTGTCTCTCTCTCTCTCTCTCTCTCTCTCTCTCTCTGCTTTATTGCTGGATTAGCAGAAACATATTTTTAGCTGTGCTTGCAGAATATAGGGGAAAGGGGAAAGCATCCATCATAGTCACAAGGTGAGGCACTATCACCACATGTTCTGGAACACAGGATGTCTGAGTTGGGTGCTTTCCATATAGGACACAGGATGTCTGATAAGGAAGGGGGTTTTGCTTTGCCTGCCAAAGAGGGGATTTTTAGCTTTACTTGCTGATAATAGTATATGAGTAATTGCCAATATAATGAGCAAATATATGGAAAGAAGAAGTAATCTTTATAAGGACATAGGAGGATTTAGGAAGGGTGATGTTCATGCTTATTGGTTTAATTTTGCTGCAGTGCATGAATATGTAATGTCTGAAAAAGGTACATAGCCCCATGGAACTGTTGATCAGCGTCCAGTCTTTGGGAGAGAACTCCACTGGACCTGTTGCTGTCAGCAAAAAAAATTACTTTCTATTTCTCCAACTGCTGCATCTGTGGTCTTTGAGCACACCTTGAACAGGTATCCAGGTACTTTCGCAACACTATATCTCTCCTTTGTGAATGTTTGGTAATCTGCTCTAGGAAGACATTGTCCATGTCTGGCTTGGCAGTCTATAGCAGACCCTTCACAGTAAGGTCACTATTTCTCTCTGCTACAGTTTTTACTCCTATACTCTCTATCAGCTTTCCATGCTCCAGGTCATGGATTTCTTCACAAGTGTACACATCCTTTACATATAATGCTACTCCTCCTTCCTTTCTGTTTGGTCTATGCATTTTGAACAAGTTATACTTCTCAGTTGCTACCTTCCATTCATGAGTTTCATCCACCAGGTTTCAGTAATATGACTCAACTCACCTGCAGCTATCAAGGCAGCAAAAAGATAAAGAAGAAACAACTTCATGATTCTGGGAACTGAAGTGGTCTGGTGTCAATGGAAGAAAAATATCCCACAGAGGAGGTTTCTGCAACTGCAATACCAAAATGATGGGAGATTTTATTTTTTTATTTTTTAAAAAAGCAAGCAAGAATCAACATGAAGGCAAATGATGTGGTGCTTACAGCTGGGCAAATGGCACTCTAGTGTGTCATGTGGTTGTGAGTTCCAATGGTCTTGTTTTTCTATTTTTGAAGTCTCTCCCTAGCAGACCTGGGTCAAAGCATTTTGCCACCTGATGCACTAATAAGGATGACATTCTCCTTTTTTCTTTTTTTTTCTTTTTTCTTTCCAATCTTGACCTGCCTCCAAAATAATCCATGATAATATACATCAGGGATGGAGGACAGCTCTGGCCCTCCAGATATTTATTTATTTGTTTAATTTTATTGTTGCATTTCTATCCCACGTTTCCTCCAAGGAAGCTCAAAGTGACACAGATTGTTCTCCCTCTTCATGTTTCATCCTCACAACAACACTTTGAGGTAGGATAGTTTGAAAGACAGTGGCTGGCTCAAAGTTATCCAGTCAGCTTCATGACCAGAGGGAGATTTGAACCCTGGTCTCCCAAGCAGGACAACAACTCCCATCATCCCTGGCTTTGGGCCATGCCAGCTGGAGCTGGTGGTATTTGGAGTCTAACAGCATTTGAAGGCCCACAGGGTCCCCAATAAATTTGCAAAAATGTATTGTTTTGGTCTCTCCATATTAAAGCTTGGTCTCTCCATATTAAAGCTTTACTGCAGGTGTGACCTCCAGATGTTATTACTAATATTCTGTGTCCCCACCAAGACTGCTGTGAGAGTAGCAGGACTGAGAAAAGGGCCTCCCCTGAAGACCTCAAAACCCAGGCATGTTCATATGACAGAATAGAGTCTTTGAGATACCTTGGACCTTAGCCTAGACACTGCTAGGGTACTATGGCAAAATGTGCATTAAAATGTATATATTAGTGAAAATAACGAACGAAAATGCATTAGCACAAATAGGTGCATCGGACAAAGTTGCATTGAAATATGTGCATATTAGAAGAAAGTCACCCTAAAATGCAGGTGAATTTCCGTCACTAATAGTTAACTGCTCCCTGCAGTTTGTGTGACAATATTTCAGATAGCAATCCCATTTGCTCCCACCCAAGGGAATATCTGGGCAAGGCCAGTAGACAAAGGGCTATCCTGCCCTCTTTGCTAAACAATTTGGGGCAGGACCCCAGGGCGTGTGCTGCGAGGAGTGTGTATGCAAGGAGAATGTGCCTTGTGTGGACACACAGCACCTGAGAGCAAGAGGAGGGTCACACCCTCATAGCAAACACATATCTCTGGGGGGGGGAGAACATTTCGGCTGAAAACCATGTAACGGAGATGGCAAGAATGGATGGCAAGCAGGCCAAAGGAAAAGGAAGACATTCAAAGCTGCCATAGCTGGGTATGATGGTCATCTGAATTGAGGGGTAGCAATGAAGCTGGAGGTAGATACCATGGAGAGAGTGGATAGAGGAAACCTTTTATCCCTCTCTTATAACACTAGAATTCATAGACATCCAATGGAAAGTTGGAAGATTCGGGACAGGTGAAAGCACATGCTATGGAAGTTACTTCCCTGGGAGGTAATGATAGCCACCAACTTGGGTGACCTTCAAAGAGGATTGGACAAGTTCATGGAGTATAAGGCTATGCTCTGCCTCCATGGTCTAAGACAGTAATGCTTCTGGATATCAGGTTCTGGAAGCCCCAGGAGGGGAGAGTGTTATTGTCCTGCTTGCAGGCTTCTCATTGGCACCTGCGTAGCTCTGTGAGAATTAGATGGTGGGCTTGATGGGCCATTGGCCTGATGCAGCAGACACTTCTTATGTTCTTATAAGAGAAGCAGAGACTGGAGAGAGGCAGTGAATGGTACTGCGATGTTGGCATTTTATCCTTTATCAGGACTGGCATGTCTACCGTGCTCATAAGCTGATATGGAACTCTTTCAGGGAAACCAGGTCGCTGGATTTCAGGGTGGGTCGTGGATAAGAAACCTTTGATAAGAAAGAGGAGGGTGTCCAAACAAAGGGATTTGCACCCCTCTGAGGACAAATGTTGAATCATAGATCTGTAGAGTTGGAAGGATACATTAGATCATCTAGTCCAATTCCCTGCAATGAAGGAATCTCAACTAAAGCAGCCATGACAGATGGCCATCCAACCTCTGCTTAAAACTTCCAAGGAAGGAGAGTCCACAACCTTCCAAGGGAGTCCATTCCACTCTTGAACAGCTTTTACTGTCAGAAAGTTCTACATTCAACCTCCTTCAACTGTTCCTCATAAGGCTTGGGCTTGATGTCAAGCCCATAATGCTGTTTTGTACAGCACCAATGAATCCTCCCAAAATTTGTCAAACAAACACCTGCTGCCAACCTTGGGTTTCACGGTCCTTGTGTTTGTCAGATGCACTGTATTTTAAAAGTTAAGTGGAGTCTTCAACAAAAGGTTGTGTTGCATCAGGTATGGGGGACTTTTGGCCTCTGGATGTTGCTGAACGCCAGTCAGCCCTGACCATTGGCCAACCTTCCTGAGGCTGATGGGAGTTGTAGTTCAGCAGCATCTGGGGCTCCGAAGATTCCCTTCACCTGCAATTGGAGCATGGCTGCTGCCTTGCAGCACTACTCCCCAACAGAGGACTGAGCCCACAAAAAGACATTTTGCCTTGTTCCCCCTGACATCTTCCCACTGGGATGGTTATTTCAGTGGAAACTGAGCCCACCTCAGTGCTCTAACACTCTCAGTGATGTCATTGCCAAAACCCATGACTGACCAGTGAGAGTTTTCCACCCACTGCTGTGAGCTGCTAACATCATTTACTGTGCAGTAGGTTACCCTGATGTCATTTAAAACAAGGAAGGCGTTTGTTCTTTTTAGATACATTAGGCAAACATACGGCTATCAATAGTGTTATCAGCAGTACATGGGCAACCGCAGAGCATGAGAAAGTGGAGTGCGCACTGCATGGTACCTTGGTATTCATCCACATGCATTTATACATAAGTGTGTTGGGTCTTTAACAGTGGTTCACATTCTAAGGAGGACTAACAAAATAAAGTGTGTCTAAAGGAGGGTGACCAGGGTGGTTGAGAGGTCTGAAAACCACCAATTACAACCCCAAGTCCTATGAGGAAATGTTAGAAGAACTGGAGGAACAGGATAGCGTCTTGATGAAGGGTTGTCATTCAGAAAATGTATAGACCCCTGATAGACCAAAAGCCCATCTAGTCCAACATTTTGTCCTCACAGTGGCTGGCAAGGTACCTGTGGGAATCCCAGATAAACAGAACATGACTGCAGCAGCACAGTCTCGGCCCAGTATACCTGAAAGAGCATCTTCACCCCCCATCATTCAGCCTGGACACTGAGGTCCAGCTCTGAGGGCCTTCTGGTGGTTCCCTCACTGTGAGAGGTGAGGTTAGAAGGAACCAGACAGAGGGCCTTCTTGGTGATAGCACCTGCCCTATGGAACGCCCTCCCATCAGATGTCAAGGAAATAAACAACTATCTGACTTTTAGAAGACATCTGAAGTAAGCCCTGTTTAGGGAAGTTTTTAATGTTTGATGTTTTATAGTGTTTTTAATATTCTGTTGGGAGCCACCCAGAGTGGCTGGGGAAACCCAGCCAGATGGGCAGGGTATAAATAATAAGTTGTTGTTGCTGTTGTTTTTGTTGTTTCTATTGCTCAGAATCACCAAATGCTGGAACTGAGAGGCATGCTACCTCAGATACTGGTGATAATGTAGCCATCATGACTAGTAGCCACTGATAGTCATCCACCATTGGTTTATCTACCCCTCACCTTTTAAAGCTATTCAGATTGGAGACCTTTCCTGGTTCCCACAGATTCACCTCCCCCTCCCCACTGAAATTAGACTTGAAAGAAGCATTTTTAGGGGAAGTTGTTCACTGTGCATTTGGACACCTCTTAAGATATTGTAAACATTTTTTCTTTCATGATGGTGCCCAAGAACAGGAATCAAGTTTTCATTTGGATGCAATTGGAGACCATTTTGAATCGAGAGGGTGGACTGAAGCTTATCAAAATCGCATTGACTTTAACTCAATTTTACAAAATGGTACCTGAGATCAAAAGGCAAGTTTTGAACTATATTTGTTGAACTATAATACGACTGGATGCTATTTTGAATCAAGATAGAAGACTGAACCTTTCAAAACTGCACTGATTTCAACCACCGATATCAAAATTCCACTGATTTTTCAGTTTTGGAGGTGGCTATCGAGTAGACAATAGGCTGCTGCGTGTGTGCGCTACACACAACAGTTTCCCTGATTTGCTAGTCCACCTACTCAGCTGGTGGGGGCTGAAAACTATCTTGACCAAAACAAGTCCACTGAGAAACAACAGGCAAATATCAGAATGCTCGTGGGAACTGTAAGGTTTGCAGAAGTACAAAACACACACCCCACTCCTTCCTTCCTTCCTTCCTTCCTTCCTTCCTTCCTTCCTTCCTTCCTTCCTTCCTTGGAAATCTAAGGTGGCAATGTCCACGGCAAATAAAATACCAATCAGGATGATCAGTTCATAGAATCATCATCCAGTCTAACCCCCTACAATGCAGGAATCTCAATTAAAGTATGCATTACACAGGACCACCCAACCTCTGCTTAAAAAAACCTCCAAGGAAGGAAAGTCCACCACCTTCCAAGGGAGTCCATTCCATGGTAGAACAGCTCTTAAAAGTTCATTCTGATGTTTAGTCAGAATCTCCTTTCTTGTAACTTGAAGCCATTGGTTCAAGTCCCACCTTCCGGAGCAGGAGTAAACAAGCTAACAGGGACTGAAGAAAAGTGTGACTGTACACAATGAACCAGTGGTATTGCGAGTGAATGGGGCAGCCCCGTGGTTCCATGTTATGCCCATCATGGCCTGGAGGAGGGAGGATGTTGCAAATACAGCTTGCCTTCCACTCCTGATCACCTCTGGCCATGCAGAGCTACCAGGTGGGTGCTGGGCATGTTCTAGGATGTCTGTGTAGGAAGACTGTGTAGCTCAATGCTCCTAGCAGCAAACCACAGAAATGGGTTGTGCACCCTGGAAGAGTCCCCTGTAGGTGAATGCACCAAGTTGTGCTGGGATGTCATAGAACAGCTTCATGCAGACCCTCCTAAATATCTCCCCTTTGCTGTTCAGGTCCTAGGCAAGCATCCCTTCCCAAGCACCAGCAAGTCCTGGCTGTAAAGTTGACTAATATCCATAGCAAAGAATTCCTCTCTTACCTGGTTTTCCCCCTTCTTTGTTGATGTGATATCTTTATGCAGAGAGACCAGCTGAGAGGCATTAGGTTGGTTGTGTGTGTATATATACTCTCTAGGGAAAGGTGAGTAAGTGCCCGCTATCAGTGGGCAGGGAGTAGATATGAGAAGAAAGGGCAGCTTCAGTGAGAGACTTTTAAGGTGGAGGAGAGACGTTGTGATTCATTGTGAGGTGTGGTAAAGAAGGAAACAAGGTTAAAATAGCTGGGCAAACTTGACGGGAAATCTGAGAAACCAATTCTGCCATGGAAAATAACTCTTGGTTTGTTTAGGACTGTTTTCCTCCAAACACCAGAAGGAAGTGAGGGGCTGCCCTGACTTGAAGAGGTTTTAAGGTGGAGCACATGAGATAGGGACAGGAAAATCTGAAAATTTTGGTTTCTCCCAGTTTCTAATTTTTTTCGTGAAGTTCAGTTTTCACAATTCTACATCAGTGTGCAGATTTTTTTTAAAAAAAGTTCTCATAAACATTCATCAGCATTTTAATGCAACTGTTTCTAAATATACATATATTGGATGGAATTGTGCCCAAGACACACACCTTTCACACAGCAAAGGTGCATACTTTACTATATACATTTCTGTAAATGTTCCTTGACTTGAGAACCACGCTGCAAAATTTGGAGAACTGTGAATTTCAATGGTTTGCATATTGCGTCGGAAAATGCAGCTTAGGGAGGTTCGCCTCAAAATGCAAACTGAAATGAATTTCTCCCCCATCCTTATTATGAGAAAAGGTTTCCAGGACAGGGCAGTGCCTGCAAGAGGAATGTAAGGGTAAGGTAGCCCTTCTGACTAAAGAAGTCCCCTCATTTTGCAGCAAGCCATGCCTGCAAGCTCTTTTTTTTTTTAATAAAAAAAAGGGGAGGAGAATAAGCTGAAGGAATTAGTCTCATCCTTCCTGACCCTAGCTGACTTCCAACTGTGAGGGGTCTAAGGATCTTCAAAAAACTCTCATCACCTTTAACAAGCTACAGTTTCCAGGACTCTTGTGGTAGGAAGCCATGACTTTTTAAAATGACTGTTTAAACCATGCAGAGGGTCTTCTCAGTAGTGGCACCCGCCCTGTGGAACACCCTCCCATCAGATGTCAAGGAAATAAACAACTATCTGACTTTTAGAAGACATCTGAAGACAGCCTTGTATCAGGAAGTTTTTAATGTCTAATGTTTTACATTTTGTGTGTGTGCTGTAAGCCACCCAGAGTGGCTGGGGAAACCCAGCCATATGGGTGGGGTATAATTATTATTATTATTATTATTATTATTATTATTATTATTATGCCTCTGAACATGGAGGTTCCAATTACCCATTGTTACTACAGGAGTACCTCGGGTTACAGACACTTCAGTTTACAGACTCCGCTAACCCAGAAATAGTACCTCGGGTTAAGAACTTTGTTTCAGGATGAAAACAGAAATCGCGTGGCAGCGGCGGTGCAGCGACAGTGGGAGGCCCCATTAGCTAAAGTGGCACTTCAGGTTAAGAAAAGTTTCAGGTTCAGAATGGACTTCCAGAATGAATTAAGTTTTTAACCTGAGGTGCCACTGTAATAGCCATTACCAAGGAGAGTTGAGCTCCGAGGGCCTTCTGGAGATTCTCTCCCTTCAAGAAGTGAGGTTACAGGGAACTAGGCAGAGGGCCTTCTCAGTGGTGGTGCCCGCCCTGTGAAACACCCTCCCATCAGATGTCAAGGAAATAAACAACTATCTGACTTGCAGTCCTGTTTAGGGAAGTTTTTAATGTTTAATGCTTTAACGTGTTTTTAATATTCTGTTGAGTAGGGTATAAGTAACATCATCATTATTATTATTATTATTATTATTATTATTATTATTATTATTATATAAAATGGTACCATGGTAGCTTAACTGTATAGCACTGATTGGGCCTGAGTGTTTCAGATATATTTATATTGTACAGTGGAATTTTGGTTTTCGAACGTAATCTGTTCCGGAAGACTGTTCAACTTCTGAAACGTTCGAAAACCAAGGATCAATGAGCAGTCAGCAAACTCCATTGATAAAATGGAGAAACACACCTTGGAAGCCATTCGACTTCTGAGGCACATTCAAAAATGTTCGGGTTCCAAATCGTTCAGCTTCCCAGACACTTGAAAACTGAGGTTCCACTGTACTGTTTTAACATGTTGGTGTTTGTCTCCCTGGGCTCTTTGGGAAGGAAGAGTGGGGTAGAAACTTAATAACTAATAAGGAGAGTCCTCTTGGATCACGCCACAAGCCTGTCTAGTCCTACTTCCTGTTTCCTACAGGAAGCAAGGGAAAGCCCACAATCAGAACATTAAGGAGCTAGTTTTGTAAGCCATGCTTTTTAGATGAATGGTGGACTATAAATGCTGTAAGTATTTCTCCCTTGCTATACTTCCTCAGGTATTCAGAGGCATGTCCAACAAACAGACAAATAGCCACTATGGCTGGTGGGTACAGACTAGACATATTCTCTATGACTTTTTCTAATCCCCTGGTGAATGAATGAAACTGTTCAACCATTTTGTTTTCAGCTGGAGACAGTGGTCTAGAAGGCTAGAGGCAGTCCTTGCCAGGAAGTTCAACAGGAAACTGAAACTTAAGTTGTTACGGGAAATAGAAACTTAGCAAAACTCTATTGTCATTCTGGTTGGCTGCAGTCCTAAAGGGCTGTTTTAGCAGAGGCAATCTTAAAAGCAAGGCTGTCAGTTATCTTGTTCAATTAGCAAAGGTTAAGTTCAGTTGCTGAATTTTATACATATATGGGTGTTTGCTTGTTAATAAAGTATACCTTCTAAATTGGAAACAGGAACCAGTAGAAGGAAAGCAAGGAAGATCTTTATTTTCCTGTTGCAACCAAGTCCCCCCCCCCCCCCCGCCGCACCTTTGCAAGGAAGTGAGGACCCAGGGCAAGGGTGTGTAAGAACTTTTAAAAACTTTAGAAATTGCCCAGACCCTCAGCCAAAGACCACCCAAAAAGCAGTCTGCTTTCTCCTTTGCTCCCATGCCCCAACTTGACTTCATGTAATTCCAGGATTGTGATGTGGCACTACAAAACCTCCAACGGGAGCTGCATGAAGACAGCCTTACATTTTTATGCATATAGGAAGATACAGAGAGAGAGAGAGAGAGAGAGAGAGAGAGAGAGAGAGAGAGAGAGATCAGGGGTCTATTTCATTAACAAGAGTTTGTTTTTAACATTGTTATTTATTTATTTATTGCCATCCACATGTGCCTCAAAGCAATGTATAAAATAAAATCCAAGAAGCAAAAAGAAAGGGGGTTACAAAGCTTGGTTCTGTTAGGCATATTTTAAAATACTTAGTATTCCATAGCATTCTTCACATGTATAAATTTGTATCTTTAAGAGCAGGGATTTGGAGCCTGTGGTCCTCAAAATGCTGCTGGACTCCTTCTCCCATCAGAAATGATGGGAGCTGCAGTTCCTGTACTGCAGGGATTGGACTAGATGAGCCCCATGGTCCCTTCCAAATCTGTGATTCTGTGACATCTAGAGGGCCACAGGCTCTACGTTTGGGAAGCCCTTGAAAGCCAAACTGAGATCCTGGACTACCAATTCTCTGTGTCTGTGGATATTAATGATTGTTGAGCAGGTCTCCTGAGGAGGATGCAAATCAGCTCTGTGTTCCCTTGGAAATGTAAACATTTTCCACTGCAGACCCGTCTCCTTTCCCCTCGGACTTTGGACTTGTGCAGAACTCGAGAAAGCTGGACCAGGCAAAGGATGTTGTTTACCGAAGGGATATTTGCTTATTGATGAAAAGAGCCACGTCAGCATGTTAGGGTGGTTAGATGCAAGGGGCGGGCAAGGCCCATGTATCTTTAATAGTCGTGTTAAAGAGAGAAATGCAACTATTAAAGGATGAGGAATACTTCCCTCTTTGTGTTTGCGAGTCCATCTTATAGAATTTATATTTGCATTTGACCAAAAACGGTCACACACTCTCCAGTTGTTGCTCCACATTCAGAGGTATTTTGTGGTTTTACAAATATTTATTTTTATTTAATCAAGAATGTATAATTTAATGACGTTGACAAATAAAGACTTAAAGAAAAACAACAACACAATTGAATTAAAATTAAACATACACACCCCAAAATAAAATGAGCTACAAATTTTGGCTCATTTCTTTCACAATCCCTGGGGGAAATAATAATAGTTCCGCATTCAGATGTGATTGTAAGGAGACTAAGAGTGCAAGCCTATGCACATCAATTCTGAAGGAAGTCTCATTGGGTTTGGTGCAATTTCCACCAGGGGATGAAGGCAAAAAAAAATTGCTTTGGTTCTCATTTTAATGAGAACCCATCAAATCCACCAATACGTGAATCAAAATGCACCTGTCCTTTGAAATTCACACTTTTCCTCACTTGGTGATGCAGTTCACCCACCAAAAAATGTTTACAAAAAGGTATATTGGGGGGAAATGTACATTAAACTTCTGGGATTGGTGCCCTCTGTTCTTGTATCGTGTTGAAGATGCTCTTCTGGGCCAAATGAGATCAGTAAAGAAATTTGTCCAGCAGGAGCCCAAGGAGACTTGGCAGTAGGATGGTGAAAACAGAACTAGTAGAGGTGGCAGAGGTGGAGGTGGTTGCAGGTTTAGTAGACTTGCTCAGGGACTTGTCGGAGGATCGGTTGGTAGAGGTTTTAGAGGAGGATGAGGTGATGGAAGAGTTGGAGGAAGACAAGGTGGTGGGTGTTTTAGAGGAGGTTGGGGGGGTGGAAGAGTTGGAGGAAGACAGGGTGGTGGGTATTTTAGAGGCTTTTGGGATGGTGGAAGAGTTGGAGGAAGACAAGGTGGTGGGTGTTTTAGAGGAGGTTGGGGTGGTGGAAGAGTTGGAGGAAGACAAGGTGGTGGAGGTTTTAGAGGAGGTTGGGGTGGTGGAAGAGTTGGAGGAAGACAAGGTGGTGGAGGGTTTAGAGGAGGATGTGGGGATGTCCTGGTTGGCCCCGTCTTTAGCTTTCTCTATGTGGCTGCTGGTAATCATGTAAGTGATCTCTCCAAAGGTCAGCTTCGTGCCGCTGACAAGGTTGCTTGCTGTAGGGGTAGCACACCCTTCTCCATAAAAGGGCTCAGTTGTAGTACCTACAAAAGGACAATAAGTGAAAGAAATTATATCATCCCTGCTGTAAAGGAAATGGGCCATTCTGATGAAGAAAAGCCTTGCATCTGGGTTGATTTGGGGATTATGAGGTTAACCTGTTAAACCTCACCTGTCCAAGTATCAAATTAGAAGATGGTAAAATCTCTGAGGAAGGTGCGGGGTGGGATTTCGCATAGGCAATACCGACAGTTGGGACTAAGGAGCTTATACTTCCTTGCGTTTTGTCAACTGGGAACCAAGGGCATCACATAGCCAGAGGGCATGTTGGGGAACCAGGTGAAAGAAAGAGGTCAAGGCAGGTGTCATAATGCCAAGGGCTGGTGGGTGCAAGAAACCAACCATTCTTTCACTATAGGAACTGTGTCTAAAGGGAAAGCTGCAAACATCCTCCAATTCTTTCTGTACTTTTACTCCATTTTAGGGGTTTGCTTTACATGCTTGTAACCATTCGTATTTTTAAACCTTTTCCCTAAGAACAACCTTTTAAATCCTTTTGGTCAACTTTTAATCTAGCTTCACAAAACCTTTGTCGTCTACCTTAATGTGCCACCCTATATACCTGCATGCCAAGTTCTATGCTACCTTGAGGTCTTTTCAGTGGGGATCTGGGGCATGCTGCAAACAGATATAAGCAGCACCTCAAAAAAATGTGACCATTTTGAGCCAGGCTAACAGTGAGTTCTTGCCAAGCCAGTTATTTGGGTCTCTTTTGCGAACCACAGCTGTTCTTTGAAATTTTCACTTCTCTGAATTTTGCAATGCAGTTCTTAATATGTATTTTTAAACTCCTTATCTTAGGGGAAAGTGTGCATAACAAATGAAAATAACAATCAAAATGCATTATTTTAGGGGAAATAAACCCAGACTCACCCATTGTAGAGCCAGTTCAGTGCAGTGGTTAGAGTATCCACTTAGATTCTGGGCTGAAATAACTGGATTTGGGCCAGTTGTTATCCCTTAGCCTAACCTACCTCATAAGGTTTATGAGAGAGCAAGGGAGAGGCTGAACTCCTTGGAAGAAGAGCTGGATTAAAATGAAATGAATAGTAATAATCTGCAGTCATCATACTGGCCATCTCTCATGGATGCTTTAGCTGAGATTCCTGCATTGCAGGGGGTTGGACAAGATATCCCTTGGGGTCCCGTCTAACTCTATGATTCTATGATTCTACATTCTGATTTACCTGTTGTGATAACCCCAGTAATGGTAAGGCAATGGTCCTGGGATTTGGCGCATTTCATCGTGGTGGCATTGCAGGACTCAGAGCCGAAAACAAAGCATGTTGGGCACATCAGTTCACTGGGAGTGGTGTCTTCCTTTAGCGCTGCAGGAGTGATGAAATGAGTAAGTAAAGAGAAAGAACATCTGCAGTGGCCGGCTCAGCAGTTGGCAAGCTGACTTGCTTCAGATCTCCAAAGTGCAAGTTGTAGCCTTCAACTGGGCGCATCACAGACATTTCTCCAGATAGACTCCCCAATTTTGGACCAGCTTAAAACATACAGTGGTACCTCGGGTTAAGAACTTAATTCATTCCGGAGGTCCGTTCTTAACCTGAAACTGTTCTTAACCGGAGGTACCACTTTAGCTAATGGGGCTTCCTGCTGCTGCTGTGCCGCAGCTGCGCAATTTCTGTTCTCATCCTGAAGCAAAGTTCTTAACCCGAGGTACTATTTCTGGGTTAGCGGAGTCTGTAACCTGAAGCGTCTGTAACCTGAAGGGTCTGTAACCCGAGGTACCACTGTATTCTGCCTCCCATGCTACCTGAACATTACAAAGTTTGGAGAGAGGCTTCCAACCAGTAAAGAACCCTAAGCCCTTTTGGCAGCTTGTGCAAAGCCAGGGCAATAGCTCTATTCACAATCAACAAGACAAAAAAGCTATTGTGCTATACCCTTCATTTTCCTGACTTTTTATATACATTGTTAATAATTTTCATAATGCCCTTCAATAAAAATTCCCAGGGTATTTTGCATGAAAATACACCTATCCATTTCTGAGAGTCCTCCTTAGCCTTAATGAGTCCTGGACCCCACATACCTTCAGGGGTGACAGCATTGCAGTTGTCCTCGTGGCAGCATATGGTTTTAGTGTTCCAGGAAAATTGTTTCCCTGCTGTGAAGAACATCTCCTCCTCTTTGCACGCCAAAGGGGTCTGGCTGCTCCAACAGCTACTGAATATACCTGGTGTTGCACTGGAGTCTTCAGCTTCAAAAAAGTAGAAATCAGAAAGGAGTTAGAGACATCAGAATAACAACAACATGTGTTAAAACCAATGGCTAAGCAATATCACCTTTCCATTGAAACAGAGAAGGAAAACATTTTTCAGCCTGAGAGCCGCATTGCATCATGGGCTGGTTTCCAGTGGCCAGTGGGGCAGGGGCAAAAGTGGGTGAAGCTACAGCATTCTTCCCTTTGTGCGCTCAACTGCATCCCAGTCTTGCAAAAGTCAGGGGTTTCTACACAGACCTCACTGCCTCCAGGCAAGCAAAGAGGTATTATCGCTGGCCAAGGACACTTCCAAGTGGGCAAAAGCACTCAAAGACACTGGCGGAAGAAGAGGAGTGCAAGGGGAGCGTACCGCCCCCAGCAGTGCAATCCCGGCAGGGTGCCATCACAGCTGCCCCCCCCCGCCCGTGCTGGGTGCCACACCCCTGCAGGTGGCACACCCCACCCCCAGGGCATGTGCCAGCCCCCACCTGCTCTCCACCCCCCGGTGCTGGAGCATGAAGATCAGCCACTGCTCAAAATAGGAGCACAGCCAGTGAAGAGTGGGGCCTATGGAAAGAGGGGGACCTGGGAAAGGGCAGCTGAGCCTAGTGAGAGCCCCAAGGGGTGGGTAAAAAAGGCTGGAGGGCTGCATTGGAGCCCTGGACCTGAGGTTTCCCCACCTCTGCATTAAAGCATACTTTCAAGAAGCCCCATGGTCAGGCTTCCTGTTTCCGGCGGTGGGAAATGGTTGACTCCCATGAGACCAGACCCTGACCGTGCCGATAATTCAGGGCTGATATGGGAGTAATTAGCCCTGGCAGCTTCCCCAGGGAGGGGAGGACAGTCTCAAAGACCTGCGGTTTGTCCGAGATTGCCGGCGTGCATTAAGATGCACCCGGCAGGACACTGGGTCAATGAGCACCACAATGGTTGGCACTCTCCGATGCCACTCCCATCTAGCCGGTCACATCTGTTTGGGATAGTATATATATTTGGAAAACAAACAGACGCGGTCTGATTCAGAAAAGCTGAAGGAAAAAACCTGCAGAAAATACAGTCTCTGGCGTATGAGCTCGGACTTCAAAGAGATCTTCATCACGGTGTGTGGAATGTGGAGGCGATTGGTATGCTTTCTTTTTCCTCTTTAAGATCAACAATTGGTTTTTCATGCCAACCCTCGTTAGGAACTTAAATTACTTTTTTAAAAAATATGAGTGCAGATGGACTTTTATTTATAATTGGGACTCACACGTAGCTCTTTTTAAGACTTGAAAGGAGAACAAAGGATAAAATGGCGCTTACTTACTACACAGTTTTAGAATATTTGGAATTTGTCTCCGATTAAGATAAACAGGAATTAATTGCTGGCTGACAACAATGATTTGAGATAACATTTTGGACAACATACAATGCAGCTATTTCTGAAGGATTTTTTTTCATTTTGAGCAATAGAAAAGGCTAAATGGATGTCTAGCGGGGGGCCCTCTAGGACCCAGAGGGGGAGGTTGAGTGGTTTCCAGGAAGGCTGATCGATCGCCAAATGATTGATATATACTTATACAACAAAATGAACAGACTGCTTAAGAACAATTCAACACTTGATAACAGCCGGACAGGAAAGATTAATGATTTGAGAGCTGCCAAGATATCATATTCAAAGAACTGGACAAAAGCCTGGACTGGATGGTGTCAGCTGAAGTGGCGCGGGGGGGGGGGGAGGAGCAGTGGAAGGGAACATAATATAAACAAGTCCGCACTCGGAGGTGGAAAGTTTATTCGTGTTTTTTGATGTGTGGAAGATCGCAGAGCCAGAGGCAAAGAAGGTTGGAGAGATAAAGTCGGATATGGAAATATGGAAAGATCGTGAGAGGCAGGACTAAGAATTGGGAATTGCATTGAAGTTCAGGCCATGGGAAGCCATAAAACAAGAATCAAATTTGGAAGACAATTGGATTTTTTTTATTTTAGTTTTTTTTATTGGATTATGATCTGAATGTTAATTGGATGTTTTTATTGGAAAATTAATAAACGCTCTAACAAAAAAACAAAAAAAGCCCCATGGTCAAGCACGGATGTATTTACACTTCTGGTCAGCAGTGATTCTTAGTATAAGGGCAGTAGTGCTCCTGTGTCAAGGAGCTGTCAAGGAGCCAGGTCAGCCACAGGGCAGGCACACACACAGCAGGCACGGAAGGCAATTAGCCAATCTTTGACTCCTCTCTATCTGAGTCTGTGACGCTCAGCCTCTATCCCTCCTTCTCGTGACCCCTCTAGGTCACTCAGACACCCTTCTCCCAGCACCTCCCAGCACGACCCTTCTGCAAACTGCTTTTCTGTTTCCCACCACCAGGATCCAGAATCTTAAGTTGGCATCTTCTGTGCACTTGCTGGAAGGCTCTTGAGTGGGCGGTTCCCATCACTATTCCTCATCCAGCCAGTTCCTGATATCCTGTTATAATCTGTAATACGCTGTCAAGTTTGCACTATTCAAGTGTAGAGCTTGGTATTGGACATGTGATTCAATATCATGAAAATCTTGGCTGTATTCTCCCCACCACCACCACCACCACATTTTTTTAAAACCTACGTTTCCAGCAAGCTTGCTGTTAGTGTTATCTGGAAATGCCCTCAGAGGTGCATTCACCTACCAGTTTTAATGTTCCCTATCACAGCGATGCACGCTCCTTCTCTGTCGGCTGTGCAAGTTGTTCCACTTGTGCAGTTTGTACATTCGCAACTCAGGGATTTTGCTGAGGGGGAAATAATAATATCAATAACAGCAAATGACAACAACCGCTGGAATTATGGCGGTAGCAACAACCTGATCTGTTATTTCTTTTGTTTATGTTTTACTTTCTGAACTCGACCTTTCCTCCAAGGAATTCAGGGTGATGTGCTGGAGAAACTGCTGTTTCACACCAGCATAACCTAGGCCACAATTGCTCCACACATTTAAAACATTGTGATGCCACTTTAAGCAGTCATGGCTTCCCCCAAAGAATTCTGGGAGTTGCGGTTTGTTAAGGGTGCTGAAAGATTGAGGGCGCAAGGAGAAGGGGACGACAGAGGACGAGATGGTTGGACAGTGTTCTTGAAGCTACCAGCATGAGTTTGACCAAACTGCAGGAGGCAGTGGAAGACAGGAGTGCCTGGCATGCTCTGGTCCATGGGGTCAGAAAGAGTCAGACACGACTAAACGACTAAACAACAACAACAAGGGTGCTGAGAGTTGTTAGCAGGCCCTTGTTCCCCTGGGATTGATTGTTAAACTACTGTATGAATAGCAGCCATCTAGCTCTGGGAATTGGAGCTCTGTGAGGGAAAAAGGGGCCTTCTAAAACCTCTCAGTAACCTTCATGAACTACAGCTCCCACAATCCTTTGGGAGAAGCCATGACCTGCAGCTCACAAGCACTACAGGATTATCACCCTTGGTGTACGTGGGTTCCCCCTCTCCAGTTACTTTTATTCTCACAACAGCTCTGTGAGGTATGCCAGTCTATTAGTGGGGTTGTTGTTGTTTAGTCATTTAGTCGTGTCCGACTCTTCGTGACCCCATGGACCAGAGCACGCCAAGGCACTCCTGTCTTCCACTGCCTCCTGCAGTTTGGTCAAAATCATGCTGGTAGCTTCGAGAACACTGTCCAACCATCTCGTCCTCTGTTG